AAATTCAGAAACAGTGTTCCAGAGAGGCGGCTTTCATTTGGGGATAAAATGGGCGGATTTGCCTGTAATGCAATTGCAATCGTGGCCCACAAAAAACAGCCATTAAAGGCCAGTTTCGTTTTCTCGTACTTGCAAACTCAGCTTCCGATTGAAGATAACAGAGAGGCATGCGTTCACTGATCCAGTTTGTCTAAAAACTACACCGCACATACGTACCCGTGTGTGCCGAAAAACGGCTGAGGTAGTGTCTGGTCTGGTCTGTCTCAGTAATTTCCTGTATCGCTGGTAGGAACTGATTTGGTGAGCTTGACTCAGTCAAAGCACCCCATTCACATTTTGACGATCCATTCAGTGTCAAGTTTGACGTTGACTGTCGCGTCGTGATTTCCCCTAAGGCGATGCCTTCGAGCATAGAAGGACAGCGGCCGGCTCATGGGGGTGGGCCACAAGTAACGCCGTCCCGCTTGGACAGCTTGAAGTGTTGTCACGTGCTAATCGATGACTATGGGCTGGGAGACAAGGTGTGCTCTACGCAAAAAATCCGGCCTAAGCGATCGAAAAAAAGTATTTTCTGTTCGGTCGCAGTGCAACTGGTATAGAATTAGAAGACCATAATGGTCTGACAGGATGGCGGTGTGATAGGCGTTGAGCTGGATTGCGATGCATTTATCGTGACGGCTGTGCAGACACCTTGGAGGGATTAAAAAAACGTGTTGGTAGCATCTTACCTTTGCTTGACTGTTTCGAAACATGGTCCCAAAATTACTGTAAACTGGCCAGGCCATCAAACTGACAAGTCGTCTCCGGCATGGAGATGCAAATTGACAATGGGTTGTCCTTTTTTGGAAGATAAACCGAGCATCTGTCAACCTGATTCTCTCAAGACAGTACAATCCGCAGGTACAGTCGCATATTATAGCACCGTAAACATAAGTGCACTTTATTAGCGAACGCATCCTGACGCAAACTCAACATTGTCAAGACCGTATCCAGCCCCCAGGAGGAGTTAAATAGGATAGTGCGCTTGCGTGCGCTTGGATAGCCGCCTAGTTGTTCGAGCAATATAACCTGCGCCAAGAAGTTTATCAATAAACTTTTGGAGGAACGTTCACCAAAATCGGAAGTCCGACAGCTGAGAAGAAAACCTTATTTCTTACATTGCCTTTTCGAGG